AGTGTTGGTGATCCCCCAGTATCTGTAAGGGATTTATCCTGGGTCTCCCTGTATTCTAGACTCAAATATCAAAATCCATAAATGTGAAAATCCTTTAAATATATTTAAATATATAAATTTTAACATATGTATATAAATAAAATATCCTATGGCCTTGGAGTTTTTAAATACATGAACTACATCATTCTTATTTCTCTTTCTAGTGCCAAACAATTGAATTTTTAACTTTTGGCCTTAATATTTAATATATTTTATATATTTAATTACATTTTTGCTGTTTGTGTAAATATAAGAATGTTAGTGTAAAAATTAAGAGCATATTTTTTGCCCTTCATAATTTTAAATTTTCAAATAAAAATTGGTTATAGATTTATCATTGAGAAAACATGGCATAGACTTATTTTCCCTGCTTCTCCTTGGTAAGTATAAACTCTGAAAATAATATAAGAATCTATGAAGAATTCAGAAAAATCAATTGATAGATAAACATGTTTTGACTCATAGGACAAGAGGAAGGGTGTAGTACCAGGGTATCTTATATCTCCCCACTAAATAAAAGATGATCCAGGTTTAATATTTTCAGAATCACAACCTGGCAACAAAACGTAGCTCAGATACCTTCCCTCTTTCCCAAGACCAAATGTAAATCCAAGTGAAAGCACAAGGTAATCCTGGCACAACTAGAATGACAGATCAATTAGAATAACTGCTTATCCACTATGGGTGAGATTGTACATTAGTACAACTACTACAGAAAACACTGTGGTTCCTCAGAAAACAAAAAATAGAATGACCATGAGATTCAGAAATCTCATTACTGGGTATATACTCAAAGTAAACTAAATTACTGTGTCAAAAGACATCAGCATGGTGTTCATAATAGAAGGAAGATCAGCATATCAAAATCTCTGGGACACTATGAAGGCCGTACTAAGAGGAAAGTTTTTGCACTGAGTGCATTCATTAAAAGAATAAAAAGTCACTTTTTGACCTAACACTTCATCTCAAAGCCCTAGAAAAAGAAGAACAAATCAACACCAAAAGCAATAGAAGATAGGAAATAATTAAAATCAGAGCTAAAAGCAATGAAATTGAAACAAAAGAAACAATTGAAAAAATTGACAAAACAAAAAGTTAGTTCTTTGAAAAAAATAAATAAAATAGGTAAACCCCTGGCCATGATAACAAAGAGAAAAGGAAAGAAAACTCAAATTACTAAAATACAAGATGAAGAAGGAAATGTCACAACAGAAATGCTTGAAGTACAGAAGATAATTAGAAATAATTTTGAAAATTTATACTCTAATAAAATAGAAAATCTCAAAGACATCAACAAATTTCTAGAGACAGATAACCTACCCAAACTGAATGAGGAGGTCATAGATGATTTAAACAGATCAATTTCAAGTAATGAAGTAGAAAACACCATCAGAAACCTACCAACCAAGAAAATCCCAGAAACAGATGGATTCTCAGCCAAGTTCTATTAGGCTTTTGAAGAAAAATTAACACCAATACTCCTCAAAGTATTCCATGAAATAGAAAAGGAGGGAACCCTTCTAAACACATTCTATGAGGCTAATATCACTCTGATACCAAAACCAGACAAAGACACATAAAAGAAAGAAAATTTCAGACCAATATCTCTGATGAACATAGATGCAAAAATTCTCAATATAACTCTGGGAAATCAAATACAAAAACATATCAAAAAGACAGTGCACCATGAGTAAGGGGAGTTCATCCGAGGAATGCAAAAAAAATTCCACCAGAAAACTTCTAGAACTAATAAATGAACTCAGCAAAGTAACAGAATATAAAATTAACACCCATAAATCAAAGGCATTTCTGTATATCAGTGACAAACCCTCTGAAAATGTATGAGTAAAACTACACCATTTACTCAACCTCAAAAAAAAATACTTGGTAATCAATGAAAGAGGTGAAAGACCTCTACAACATAAACAACAGAACACTAAAGAAAGAAATTGAAAAAAAACCTCAGAAGATGGAAAGATCTCCTCTACTCCTGAATAGGCAGAATTAATGTCAAAATGACCATACTACAAAAAGTGTTATACAGATTTAATGCAATTTCTATTAAAATCCCAAAGACATACTTCATATAGAAATAGAAAAAGCAATCACAAAATTTGGAAAAACAAGAGACCCTGAATATCTAAAGCAATCCTTAGCAAGAAAAGTGAGTCAGGAGACATCACAACACCAGAACTCAAACTATACCTCAGAACTATAATAACAAAAATGACATGGTACTGGTACCAAACAGACTTGGAGACCAATGGTACAGAATAGAGGACACAGAGAGAAACCCACATAAATACAGTTATCTCATAACAGACAAGGGTGCCAAAAACATTCACTGGAGAAAAGATAGCCTATTCAACTAATGATGCTGGCAAAACTGGAAATCCATATGTAGCAAAAATAAAATTAAACCTCTATCTCTCACCTTGCACATAAATCAACTCAAAGTTGACCAAAGACTTAGGCACTAGAACAGAGACCATGGACATAATAGAAGAAAAAATATCTTCACCATGTTGGCCTAGGATTTGACTTCTTTAACAAGATTTCTAAAGTGCAAGAAGTAGAATCAAGAATTAATAAATGGAATGAATTCAAATTAATTTTCAGCAAAGGACACAATCAATAATGTGAGGAGAGAGCCTACAGACTGTGAGACAATCTTTACCACATGCACCTCTGATAAAGGATTAATCTCTAGATATATAAAGAACTCAAAAAACACACACACAAAAATAACCCAATCAATAAATAGACTAAGGAACTGAACAGAACACTTCACAGGAGAAGAAATACAATTGATCAACAGATATATAAAAAAAGTGTTCAACCTCTTCAGCAATTAGAGAAATGCAAATCAAAACTACTGTAAGATTTCATCTCACTCTTGTGAGAAAGGCAATCATCAAGAATACAGGAAACAATAAATGTTGGCAAGGGCATGAGGAAAAGGGTACACTCATACATTGCTGGTAGGATTGCAAATTGGTGCAGCCAATATGGAAAGCAGTATGAAGATGCCTCACAAAACTGGGAATGGAACCACCATTTGACCCAGCTATCCCACTCCTTGGTTTATACCCAAAGGACTTAAAATCAGCATACTACCACCACATCAATGTTTATACCAGCTTGATCACAATAACTAAACTATTGAACCATCCTATGTGTCCCTCAATAGATGAATGTATAAAGAAAATGTGGTATATATACTCAATGGAATATTACTCAGCTCTAAAGAAGAGTGAAATTATGGAATTTGCCAGTAAATGGTAGGAGTTGGAGAATATCATACTAAATGAAATAAGCCAATCCCACAAAACCAAAGGCCAAATGTTTTCTCTAATATGTGGATGCTAATTCACAATAAGGTGGTGGGCACTAGGGAAAAATATCATTACCTTAGATTATTAGGTAGAGGGAAGTGATAGGATCAGGAGAAGAGGGGATGTGGGGATACTAAAGAGAGTAGAATGAAACAGACATTATTACTTTATGTGTATATGTGACTACATGACCAAAATGATTCTGCAACATATATACTCATAAAAATAAGAAATTATATCACATCTATGTGTGATATAATGCATAAATGCATTCTACCATCATGTATTAATACAAGTTTGAAAAACAAAAAGCAAGATCAGTAGAGTAAGTGGATCATGGGTTGTGAAAGGAAAGATACTAGGTTGAGATGGATCAAATTATGTCATGTGCATGTATACATATGAACAGGGCATAATGAATTCCACTACTCTGTATGACCATAATGTACCAATGAAAATAATAATGATGATAGCAATAATAATAATACCTGTACTCCCATGTTTATTAAATCACTATTCTCCACTTCCCATAATATAGAATCAATCTAAATATTAATCAATAGATGAAGTTGTAAAGAAAATATAGCATATTTTTGCAATGGAATATTATTCAGCTATAGAAAGCATGAAATTCTTTTACAATGTAGGACATTATGTTAAATGAGTGAGGCATTGAAAGGCAAACATCATGTCATCTTATTTTTTAGTAGAATACAAAAAATATGTCACAGAAGTTCAGAGTAGAATAGTGGTTAGCAGATATTGGAAGTATAGAGGAAAGGGGAGGTAGTAAAAGGCTCATTAATGAATACAATTTTACAGTTTGATAGAAAGAATAAGTTCTCATCTTCTCTGGCATGGAATGGTGAATATAATGAAAAACAATGGATTAATATATCTCAACACTTAGAAGAGAGGATTTTTGTATGCATTCACCATAAATAAACAAGAAAAGTCTAAGATGAAGGATATGCCAATTACTCAAAGTTGAACAATGCCCAATATAGGGAGAAAACAAAACATCATAATGTACCTCATAAATTTGTACAAACACTATGTTTATATCAAAATAATAATAAAATAAATATCAAGAAGAAAACACAAAAGGCAAACAGTATAAATGAGAATGTTGGGTTGGATGTACTGTTGTACTCTGTTGGTGAAAACTAAAACTAGTGTAACCATTATTGTAAATAGTACAGAGGTTCCCCAAAAAGTTAAAAATAGAACTACCATATGACACAGAAATCTCACTACTGGGTTTACATCCAAAGGAAATGAAATTAGTTTGCTGAAGAGATATCTGCACTCACATGTTTACTGCAGCATTATTCATAATAACCAAGAATATCCAGGATCAACTTGTGTTCAATGGATACATAAATTAAGAAACTATGTCATATGTATATGAAAATACTACTCAGCCACAAATAAAAAACAAAATGTCATTGGAATTTTAATATGGATTGATTTAAATCTGTAGACTTTTTGGATATTAAAGACATTTTAATGAGAATTTTAATGAGCAATGATTATGTTTCCATTTATTTGTGTCTTCTTCAAATTCTTTCACCAATGTATTATAGTTTTCAGTATATGGATCTTTCACAATAATTACAATTTCAAAATTTACATTGTTTGATTATAGAGGGTGTCCTTGAACTGGTCACAAGAAAAAAATACAATCCAGATTCCAGCAAACAGGAAAGATGAAGAGTTTCCCCAGGCGTAGAGAATCCTGACAGCACATGGCCTATTTTGGTAAGTGTTCTATTCACATTTGAAAAGAAATTTAATTCTAAAGTCATTTGGGATAGTGTTATATCATTGCAAATCACTTTAATTTGATTAGTACAAATATAATACTAAAAAGACATATAACAAAGAACATTATCTTACACTGCTTTTGGTGTCATTGTGCATGTTTCTCCTGAGCAATAGCAGTGCGCACTATTATCATAATCCAATCCAATAGTAACTCCGAGCAACTGAACAATAGTGACAGCAAATGACTCCCAGGATAAACCCTCTGAATACTAAAAACATGAAGAAAAAAAAACTTTTATTAAGAATTATGATGTTATAAAATAAAGCAATATTAACTATAATAAAAAATCAGTATATTTAAAGCTCATTTTTAAACTTATTAACATATTCAAGGCCCCTGTGTAGATGTAAGTTATAGTAGGGTTATATAAACTTTTCAGGTAGACTTATTCAACCTGAATTGTTGAGAGCCATCCATGGGCTATGTGTGGACTACACTAGCACCACAGCCTAGTGAATAGGGGAATCTTGTGTCTGGGAATGTCCAGTGGAAATTTCCTCTGGACAAGACCACCCAGCTACATTGTAAGTCATATTCAGCCCTGCCCCAGGTCCCACACAACATGGGAGATGGGGTGACCTGCTGCAGCCCACAGCCTCTCAGAGATGGGTATGACCTGCCAAGATGCCAATCAATATGCTGACTGCCAGACACCACTAAGCAAGACTCTGCCCCTAAAATCATATCCCTGCCTTTGATGTACTGTCTTAAATCAGCCACAGGAGCCATTTTTTAGTTGTCCAGCTCCAGCTCCTGTGTGGGCTGAACCTATCAGGTGCTCCATCCTTTAAAACTTTAATTCTGACTCTGTCTTTTGTTCTTTACTAATTATTTTAGATTTTAACTTCTTCAGAGGTTTTATTCCTCTGAGCAGGCAAGAGTTCCATGGTGAGGTGCTGGCCACCCAATGGTAATGAATGAGTCAAAACAATAATTAAATTTAATTTCAAAACACTATTAATTACTGACAACATAAGTGATCCCAGAAAATCCAATGACCTCAAATATCACATTGGCATTACTTTAAAATTTCATTTTAATAATCAGTTTTACATTCCCTCTCCGATAGGCAGCTTCTAAAATGGGTCTCAATCATCCTTGCCTCATTGTATTCACATCTTGTGTAATTCTACTCCAAGATTTTATTAATGCATTAAACATTTCCATCTACCCTCAAAGGAGAGTTAGTTATTTCATATTCTGGAAAGCTGTTGAACCCATGCAAGCCCTCCTTTCCCATCCAAGCTTCTGATTAAAATTACTTAAGAAAAAAATAGAGTACAGGAAATATTTTTTTTTACCAAACCTTGCACACTCCATTTCTTCTACTCTCCAAAAAAAGAAAATATTGTTCACTTTTGATTGGTAAAAAATACAAATTAGCTAGGATCCCAAGGAATCTCAAGGAAAAAAAATAATATATAAAATACATAAAATTAGTTACAAGCACTAGAAAAGAGAGCAAAGCAGATTCCAAATTCACCCTTCTATACTCTATATTTGATGAGATAAAGATACTGAAGATTATGTTTCCTATGTTTTTGTCACCAAATTATTGACAGTTGGAAGGAAGAAGAGATTGTTTTCTTCTCATATACTGTTGCTTTTGTCAGTCTTTTCCAACTAGCAGCAGCATTTTGCCTCTAAAGTAGAAGTTTATTCCAGTAATTTCAGCTAAATTCAGGAACAATAGTTTCACAGATATAGTGCCTTCTAGTTCTATCATAACCCATCCAATCCTAGATTTTAAAAGTAGCAGTAGCTGGAGACACCACTTCTGCCTCCACTGGCAACTTTTGAAAAACCCACAAGTAACATCATAATCAATGACAAAAACTGAAAACTTTTCCTCTGATATCAGATACAAGGCAGGGATATCCACATTCACCAGTTCTCTTCAGCATAGTGTTGGAAATACAAACAAGAGCAATCAGACAAGAAAAAAATAAATAAAACACATCCAATGGGGCTTTCAAGGTGGAACAAGTTGGTTGCTCCATGGTGCGAAACCAAAAAACAGATAGGCAGCTTCTCAACAAGGTGGGTAAACAAAAAAGGGAGCAGAGAACTTTACTGTAATTTAATACTCAGCATAAAGAATATTAAGGACTCAGGAGGTTGGATATAATTAAATAAGGAAGAAACCTCCAGTGCCACATCCACGCCACAGTGGGAAGCAATAGCCAGAGCAGTCCCTCCACAAGCAAAGTGAGGGGATAAGGGAGAATTAAAGGAATCCACATTTTTAGGAAGCCAGAATCATGTCTGGATATGAAGAGTTTAGAGATCAAAGACACAGCCAAACTGAACTGAAAGGCATGATGCACAATATCCTTGTGCAGGAAAGAACCTGCTTTTCTCCCAACTGTGTGCAGAGGACACAGGAAAGAACCATTTTGCAGCCAAGGAATTGGGGCTGGAAACGAGGGGAGCCAAATCCTAGCAAACCTGAGTTTGGTCTGAAATACAGGCCTGGCAAAATCATACTGCAGGACATACAGTGTACTTATGTAACCAGGAGAAAAATCAAACATGGAAAGGGGTTTACATAGAATACTGGTTGTGGAAACCCACCTGCTTTTGCCCTTCCACTCCAATATGGCTGCTTGCAGGAATGACTTGGGAGAGGCATGCCTGGCTGGGAATTGGAAAGAGCAGGGACAGAAGAAATTGAGTTTGAAGACTGAACCAGAGACCAAGAAACATGAGATCCACAGATAACAGAGTGGCCTAAGAATTCACTCCTTCACCATATGAGTGGAACCTAGGGGAGATCCCTATGGTGCAGTCTTCCAGGGTGGACCAGCAATTTCTGGG